ACATTATCTCCCGCGTTCTCGCGCCGTGCCATGGGCCTTGCGAGCGAAGTGGTCTTGAAACAGGCGCGCGCTGTAGTCAATACATTCTGTCCGTATGAACGCGCAGTCAAGGTCTCGACGAGGGCCGTTTTGTACGGGTTCAGGTCGGGGGGTTGGTCTGAGGTTGGAGCGGGCGATGAGACTGTGCGTTCTAGGCTTGCCGTGGGCCCCCCTCCAGGCCTCCCCTCTTGAAAATTGCTCTCTTCGGCGGTTGGCCCGTCACGTCCGGCATGGGTACATGACATGGAGTCCCGATTCGTTGTGGGCTTCCTCCAGCTACGTCGCCTTCGCCCTTGCCTTCGGCTCCTTCCGTCGCCGTGCTTCATGTGTCTCTTGGAAGGCCTCTGAAGTCTTCTCGGAAGCGTGTGTAGGGACTCGATGGGGAGAGAGCGGGTGGAGGGCTCGGGGGGGGGACACTTCGGGGGGGGAGGGCCCCGGGGGCCCCTGTGTATTGCCCTTTTTGGGTTCCCGGGGGGGTTTTGTCGGGGGCCTCTGCGCGGGGGCCGTTCAGTGGTGATCTTGGGGACCTCCCGCGCTGGCCGGGCTATGCGTTTCCAGGCGCCCTCGGCGATGCCACATTGTTGCCCCCGCTCGCGCGTGCAAGTATTCGGGCAGCATGCCCTCGCGCGCCGTGCTTCTTTTGCGGAAATCTCTGCAGGTCGCGCGCGCGCGGGGTGCGCGCGCCTGCTGGTGCGCGGCCAGGGCGCTGGACTCTGCGCAGTGGCGCAACTGCGCAGGCTCAGCACCAGCCGTGCGAGCCACTGGTAGAACGCTCGGCCCCCACGACCCTCCACCCCCAACTTCGCCGTTTGAGCGTGAGCAGGGGGGTGGAGGAGGGTGGGGGCGGGGCCTGTCACGGGCGCTATCGCGAATAGCGAGAACCGGGCTCCAGAGGGCGTCGCCAGCCGGGGCGCTTCTCGCCACCCCCCTCGGCGGACGGCTGGCGGGAGGCTGGCGGGAGCCGGCGCGGAAGTGCAGCGACGGCAGGCCTGCGGGCGGAAGTGCGGCGGTGGACCTGCGAGGCCTTGGAGACACATGCCTCTTTTTTTGTTTTTTTGTTTGTTTGTTTGTTTGTGTGTGTGTGTGTGTGTGTGTGTGTGTGTGTGTTATCTCGCTAGGTTATGTAATTTCCGTCACTGGTCGTGACACAGGGAGGGGAGGCAACTCGGCGCTTCGCCGCTGCTGGGCCTGCGCGCCGCATTTGGCTCCGCATGCCCTCTGCCTCGCTGGACGGCGACCTGGGGCCACAGCTGGCTGCCCCGCTACCCGCCCTCCGTGCCGGTTCTGGGCATCCGCCGCCCGCCCTGGTCTCCACCCGTCCGTGGCTTTGCTAGTTGGGCGTGCTATTGCGCCCCCGCCCCCTGCTGCGCCGCTTCGCTACTGGCCGGCTGCTTGCTGGATCAGTTCCCCCCCGCTCTGCCAACACCAGCATCAGCAGGCAGCGCTGCCCGCCTCCCTCCGGCCGGCCTTCGACCAGCTCAGCTGCATTTTGCCGTCTGTGGTCACCCGCCAGCTTGCACTGGCGCCGCGCTTCATTGGGACGTCTTCGACATGGTCATTCGCGCCTTCCTCCCGTTCTGTGCTTCGTCTCCTTCATGCACTGCAGCCCCTGCTTCAGCCCCTGGATGTGGCCGTGACGCCGGCCCGCGCCCACTGCCAGGTGGTGCAGCACTGGCTGGCCGCCCTGGCCGCTCCGTGGGGACGCACCTCGCCATGTGAGTGCCCCCCCTCCTTTCCTCCTGGTTGGCGGCCGCTTTCGCCTGTCTCCCTTCCCCCCCGCCGCCGATTATTGGCGACTCCCGTTTCCCAGGCCGCCTGAGCGCGCGTGCGGACTGCCTCTGCCGCGCAGCGACGTAAAATTTGTTTTTTGCTTTTCCGCTTGTTCTTGTAATTTCCGGTGCTGGTCGTTACCCGGTGGAGGAGGGGGCAATTCGTGGGAGGATGTTGTCAGAACCAGTCAGGGCTGTTGAGCTGGATCAGGGCGCCAGTGAACCGAACTATCTCGTATCAGGCTCAGGACCTAGCTTGATTCAGTGGGATCAAGCCGGATTGACGGGAGATGGCCACATGGAAAATCGTTTATGATTGTAGTATTGTTTGTATTAGTGTTATGGCTGTTATTATTATTATTATTATTATTATTATTATTATTTGTATCATTATTATTATTAGTATTATTATTCTTAGTATTATTATTATTATGATTCTGATTATTATTATTATTATCATTATTTATTATTATTATTATTATTATCATTATTATTATTTATTCGTATTATATTAGCATCATTCTTATTATTTGTAATATTATTATTCCCATGATTATCATTATTGTTGTTATTATTGGTAGTCTTATTATCATCACTTTTTCGATTCTCGGCAGTTTCCCGGCTTCGCTCGTTTTTCTCAGTCGTTGCACTTCGCCGAAAACGTTCTAGGGGTGGCCGGGTCGTCCCGAACGGCCGCCGGAAACCCTCGCAGGCAACTAGGAGGCGGTACGACCGCCGCCAAGTCCAATATAACGACGGAAAAAGGAACTACAACACGTGAGTGGAGCACAAGACTCCAGTAGTTAGGACAAATCATCGGAGGTGTGGGCAAGCAAGGCAAAACATTGCCGAGTACCAGGAAAACAGCCCCCAGGCACAGGCCAGTGGGCAACCACAAATTTCTCACCGCCTGAGGCGACGACAGACAAATACGGCAAGGCCCGCCAACAGTTCCGTGGGACAAGCCACGACGCAATTGTAGACCGCGAAGAGAAAACGCACAAAACTGGCGGTCACCGCGCGGAGTGGGGGTGAATGCGGAGAGCGGCGAGCGGCAAGGTCATAGCGATGCGAGAGGGATCCAGCAAGGACATGCAGTGGCGCGCAGGGAAGAGGGTAGAGGGGAAAAGAGAAACGGGCGGAACGAGGGACGCACTCCCGCCAGCAGCACCGCACCAACCGTGGGTGCCGGTGGTCCGGTACCGGTACAGGGTGTGGGCCAGCTTGCATGGCCGCGGCCCGTGCTCCTCGCGCTTCGTCCTGGGGGCAGCTCGCTTCAATCTATTGCTGCCCTCGTTTTTGGCCAGTCTCTGTATTCCCTTACCGCCTTAGGCGGGGGGCTTTTGGCTGCCCTGGCGGTTTGTCTCTCCGGGGCTTCTCAGGGGCTCAGCCAGGCGGTGCCTTTCACCGCGCGTGCTGGGCGGGGAAGTGGCGTTTTTGCGCCCCCAGTGGTGCGCGTGGCAGTTTCCACGGGCACCGCTCGTGGTCGGCGCGATCTTCCGTCTGACAGCTTGTCGTCCAGCGGCGGCCTTACCGCCTTGCTGCCTGCGCCTTGGCATGGGGTGCGGGCTGGCATGCCCGCGGCCTGTTTAACTAATTGTTGCTTTCTGCATCGCACCCCGAGTGCGCTTTCGCACCTGGGGCTGCAGTTCGCATCTCCTGCTGGCTTCAGCTCTATGTCAGCTTGATTGCCAGCACCTATGCGTTGGCGTCGCCTTTGGTTTGATTTCTTATATATAGAATGTTTACCTACTATATTAAACAAGAAGAAACCAGTTACAAAAATGTTTCGTCGCCCTTGGTCGGTGTGGTGCGATCTTTGTGGTGACGCGTACAGTCTCTGTTAAGCTTAGGTGTTTGCTCATCTGTACGTTTTGCTTTCACCTGCCTTCATGGTAGCTCTTCGCGGCTTTTGCTGCGTGGGGGTTGCTGTTTGAACGCTGGCGCCTGCACTGCACGCTGGCCATGCTCGCGCTCGCGCCTGTTCGCCACCCATGGCCATGCTCGCGCTTGTCCACCACCCACGTGCGCCGCCGCGTGAAGCGGTTGTTGCTCGCGGTCGCCCGCGTTCAGCCCCGTCTTTTGTTGTCCAAGGCTAAAACCGCCTCGGCCGCGGGATCATCTTTGTCGTCACGCCGACCTCTTGCATTCTGTTGCACGGTCGGTTTTGCGGTTTGTGCCCGTTGTATGGCCGGTGGCGTCGTTTTGTCGCGCAGCTCTTTGCGTGTTGGCGCCGCCACTACGTGGCTGGTCTTGCAGCCTTTGCGTCGGGTACGCTGTCGTGGTCTGCCGCCCTGTAGGTCTAACGCTCCGCCCATGCTGTTGCTCTTGCGTCGCCGGTTCGTGCCCATCGTCTCGCCAGGCCATAGCTCAGCGTTGCCCCGACAATTTGCTGGTATGGCAGCTTTACTGGTTGTAATTTGTAGTTGCCGGCGTTTCAGGTCCGTGAGTCGAGCTATCGCGCTCCTTGGGTTCTGACAGCTGCACGCTTTTTGGGTCAAAATCTCCCGATGATTCTTGATCTTGATTTGCACCAGACTGCTCGCGCGTCAGTTCGCTTTGAGTCGAGTTTGTTTTGCGTACTCTTCGGTTTCTGGCCGCTGAACGCTTTTGGGATTACAGTCGCATCACTACACCACCCGTCTTCTGCACTTTACATCGGTTAGGTCCGTCTGAAGTTCGCACTTTCATCTGCTGCCCGCGCCTGGGGTCCCTTGTGCTGCCGACTCAAAAGCGTGTGTGCGCGCCCTGCAATCTGCTTTATAGGAAGGGAGGACAAGCAGGATGTTTTCGGACCATAACTCCGGTTTCAGGCGGCTGCCCGGGACGATGTCGGGCGTTTTGGGCGAGGTGCGGCCGAGGAAAGACACCCTGAGAGCCTCCGACAACCTCGGACCTCCTCAAGCTTCGGAGGAGGCGAGGGCGGAAGAGGAGGAGGAGGAGGAGGAGGACGAGGAGGAGGAGGAGGAGGAAGAGGAGGAGGAGGACGAGGAGGAGGAGGAGGAAGAGGAGGAGGAAGAGGAGGAGGACGAGGAGGAGGACGAGGAGGAGGAGGAGGAAGAGGAGGAGGATGAATAGGAGGAGGAGGACGAGGAGGAAGAGGAGGGCGGAGGGAGGAGGGAGGGAGGAGAGGCCCGACCCCAGACCGACGCCCCCGCAGCGCGGGCGGCCGGCCTCTCCCCTCCCCGCGAGGCGTGGACGACTCGGTCTCCCCGCGGACCCTCTGCGACATCTCCCAGGAACGCCTCTCTGTAAGGAGGAAAGACTGGTCTACTCTGTAAGAACGGTTTTCTGAAGGCAGATCTGCCCTCAAAAAACCGTTCTTTTGGAAGGCAGATCTGCCTTCCAAAAGCCGTTCTTACACAGAGTAGACCATTTTCTGAAGGCAGATCTGCCTTCCAAAAACCGTTCTTACAGAGTAGACCAATTTTTTGAAGGCAGATCTGCCTTCAAAAAACCGTTCTTACAGAGCCGCCCGCCGCAGTCACGCCGCCCGCCCGCTCGTCCATAGCCAGAGAGAGGGGGCCATCAGTACCACCCTCTTCGTCAAGAGTCAAGAGCACCTCTCGGCGAAGGAGCAGGTGCCAGCACCGGCACCCCTCCTCCGATTTCGTCCTTTTGGGCTTCCCGGGAGGCCCTCGTCGCCACCTGTGGAGATTCGCCCAGAACTCCTGCTCAGAGCGCGCCCCGGGAGAGGTCCGGGGAGTGGCGGTATGGGTACTTCCTTTGGTGGTCCCCAAACGTGGTGGTGAGAACACCCGGTGGTGAGTTTGGGGCGATTTGGGTAATGGTTTTCGAGCGCTGGCTGGCCCAGGAAACGCAAAACCTCGTGGCGACCGCGTGTCCCCAAACCCGGTGGTGACCCAGCATTATTTTTTGGGGGCATCGGGGTCACCACCGGGTGTCTCACCACCTGGTTTGGGGACCACCAAGGTATGGGTACTTCTTGGTTTCCCCACGTCAGCACCATCATCTTCACGGGGGCGCACCCTGCGTCTTGCTGGTCAGGGTGCAGCCGACACACAGGGGGGGCTCTATCGCGGTTCGGGCGGCCACGTCCCGGGCCTCTCCGAGCCTCCCGCCCCGCGGAGCGGAGCGACGCGCAGCGTGTCGCCAGGGCCGCCGCGGCGACACGCTGCTGCTCAGGAGGGAAAAAACACACAGACACAATTAGTCGTCGATTCCCGAGAAAATATGGGAAAATATGGGAAGTGGGGGGGAAGACATAAACCAAACAAATATGGGAACATATGGGGAATACTTTTATTTATGTGTATTTATTTGTGTGTCCTGGGGCCCCTTCAGCTGCTTCGGTTGGCGGCCGTCTCAGCGCCGACGGCCCCGGCTGCCCTCGCCGAGCTCGCGGCCGCCCCGCAGGCGCACGGGCCGTCTGCTCTGAGCGTGAGCGCCGTCGTCGGCACCGTCGCCGCCTCAGGCTTCTGGCCCGCGGGTCGCCTTCGCACGCTGATATCAATCCAGCCTCGGCCGCCCGGGCGTGTCCGTACCATCACACCATCGTCGGAATCGTCACCAACAGTACTCCATCATCCATCGTCCTATGATCACAGCGGTCGATGCAGCAGCCACAGCCTTCGCGCTTTGGCCTTCAGCGGACGTCCCGACCAGGGTTGCTGCACGTGAGACCCGTAAGGCACAATGCCTGGTGAACGTGTCGCTTGTCAGAGCCCCGAGACCACCGCGATGTACCATGCGTCGCGCTCCAGCCTCCCAGGGGGGGCGTCGACCAGGGGCATTGCACAGGTCAATTTGCGAGCAGATGTCATGTAGACCGTCCGTTTGGGAAGGTCGACTTGTTTCTTTTCGGAGCCCCATGATCACAGCGATGTTGAAAGCGTCGCGCTCGAGCCTCCCACGGGCCGTGAGCAGGAGAATTTCACGGGGTAGGGCCAGGAGGCCCCAGGACGATCTAGGACGATCCTTGAGGCCCCTCACGCATGCTCCGACCCACTTTTACTCATTCGCGCATGCATCAGACTCGCTTGCGCTAGGACCCTGTCATATCCAGTCGCTCATGCGCACACGCGGTCACAGCCATACCCATTCTTCCTCATACGCACCCAGGCCCAGACCAACTCATACCGATACATTCGTTCTCAGCTGTTGAGATTCATTCAAACCTCAGACTCACGCACAGCCAGTTTTTTGTTCGGTTGTCTTTGTTTTTTGTGCAGAAGCCCGATGGTTGTTGCAACACTCTCAGATCCGGGCGTTGCAAAACAAACTCTTTCCCAGACTCGCTCAGACTCAGACTCACCCGCGCTTAAACTCATTCATACTCCGCTCGTACACAGATCCGAGCATTCTCAGTCACGTGTGCCCAGTCTCGTACTCAGACGCTGTCCCGCCCAGGCTAACTCACCCAGCCGCTCGCAATCACATCCGCTCGCCCTCAGGCTCGCTCGTACCCAGACGCCGCAAAACGAGGACGCTGGACAGCCCTGCCCGTCGAACACCTCCCCAGCGCCAGGAGTTCTCCTTCGTCGAGTGGGGCGTTAACTTCAGGGCGGAGAGGCCTCGTCACCACCGTAGTCGTCATCGTCGTCATTGTTGCTGTCGTCGCCGTCGAGGGAGGGGGGAGGAGCATGAGAGGCAGAGGGGAGGAGGGAGGAGGGAGTAGCAGGAAGGCGCATGAGGGGAGATTCTTGGGCTTACGCCACACCGCCGACCCCTTGGGGGGGCTCGCAGCGCGTCGCCTTCGCTCATGTTGTCGGTGTCGGTGCCTTTGGGAGCTCGTTTTGAAGCATATTTTGTGCCTCAGAGGTGTCTTTTTCGGCTTCGTGTGCGCCTCTTGGTGGCCTCGTGGTGCCTCTTAGAGGCATTTTGGTGCTTCCTGTGGCGTTGTGGGGCTCTGTTGGGCCGTCTTGGCCGCCTCTTGGGCTGTCTTAGGCCTTTGTTCGGACTGTCTTGGGTCTCTTTTGGGCCGTTTTGGGCGGCTCTTGGCCTGTGTTCGGGCTCTCTTGCGGCCTTGTTGGGACTCTCTTTGGCCGTCTTGGTGCGGTCTTGGGCGCCTGTTTGGGCTGCTCGTGCCGTCGGAAATTCGGAGAGGCAAGAAAGCCCAACACTTTACAAAGCTTAGGCAAATCAATTAGTTTGGCTTCTTGAAGCCCGGTCGGGAGGCCTCTTGGGAGTCTCTTTGGTCGTCTTTGGATGGAACAAGTGGAGCCAATCGCAGAAGAAAACGGAGTGGATGAATGCAACGAGCACTGCTCGACAAAGCGCGCGCCAGGAACAACCGCTGAGGTGTTCGGAGTGCCCAAAAGACACAGACGGAAGAGGGCGAGAATTCACGGACGCGGCGCATCTGACAACATAACGAATGAACCACTATTAAAAAAACGGGCGCAGCCCATAGGCCAGTGAAATGCCGCGGCTGCGACACGCATTACAAGCGATCCCGGGTGTTCAGGTGCTCCGCGTGCCCGAAAGAAACAGATGGGAAAGAGCGAGAAATCACGAACATGACGCACCTAACATATAAGCAAGTGAAGCATTTCTTCGCGAGGGGTTCGGACCATCGCCCAGTCATGTGCCGCGCGTGCCAGGAAGAACGCAATCAGCCGCGAGTGCTGACGTGCTCCGCGTGCCCGAAAAAAACATATGGAAAAGAGCGAGAATTCGCGGACAGGACGCACCTAACAGATAAGCAAATGAAACATTTCTTCGCGAAGGGTTCGGACCATCGCCCAGTCATGTGCCGCGCGTGCCAGGAAGAACGCAATCAGCCGCGAGTGCTGACGTGCTCCGCGTGCCCGAAAGAAGCAGATGGAAAAGAGCGAGGATTCGCGGACAGGACGCATCTGACTGATACGCAAGTGAAGCACTTCTTCGCGACGGGTTCGAACCATCGCCCAGTCATGTGCCGCGCGTGCCAGGAAGAACGCAATCGGCCGCGAGTGCTCTCGTGCTCCGCGTGCTCGAAAGAAGCAGATGGGAAAGAGCGAGAATTCACGGACAGGACGCATCTGACAGATAAGCAGGTGGAGCACTTCTTCGCGATGGGCTCGGAGCATCGCTCGGTGGTGTGCCGAGCGTGCCACGAGCAAAGGCAGGTTGCGAAGAAGTTGGAATGTTCCGCGTGTCCCCTGAAGAAGGACGGATCAAAGCCTACGTTCGCTGACCGCGGCCATCTGTCGATAGCCCAGAAGAAGAATTATTTCCACCGAGGCACTCTGGTGGTTTGCGCCAAGTGCTATAAGGCGGGACGGGCGCCGCGGAGAGACCCGCCGAAACGCCCTGGCAGGAAGGCGCATGATGGGGAGATTAGCAGAAGCATGAGGAAGGGGAGGGGGTGGAGAAGGAGGAGGAGGAGGAGGCGAAGGAGGAGGAGGAGGAGGAGGACCAACGTAAACCCAAGACTCATCAGCGATGTTGGATTCAACCCTCCCTTCAAGCTGCCACTTCATGGGCCCCTACACGGATTCATTTCCACTGAGGGAAGTGCCACGTTGGGAGACAACCGTTTGAAGATCCCGAAGCGTGCCAAAGCTCCACTCTCGAGACTTCAACGCCACGAATCAACCTGACTGGTGTTTCTTGACGATCCCGAATCACACTCGAACGCCATTCCTGGGACTGCGACGCCGCGACTCAACGTACCTGTTGCGCCCTAACAATCCTGAATCGTTCCGAAACACACTTGCTGGTATGTTAACCATGGGAACCCGTGAACATCTTGAAATGTTGAAGATGAATGTGCGCGTCGGCAAGACCAGAACCACATTTTGAAAAGGAACCGCCCTCAATCCGTGAAGCTCTTTCGTTGTGGTCGTGGTGGTGGTAGTCGTCGTCGTCGTCGTCGTCGTCGTCGTCGTCGTCGTCGTCGTGGTCGTGGTCGTCGTCGTCGTCGTCGTCGTCGTGGTCGTCGTCGTCGTCGTCGTCGTCGTCGTCGTCGTCGTCGACGATCGCCGCGGGGCCCTTTGGCGCGGCCCCCGCGGGCGCGCTCTCCGTCGGCGGGGGGGCGGGCGGCCTCTGGAGGCCCCCCGAAGGGGGGGGGGGCCCCTGGGAGCTCTCCCAGGGGGCACCGCCTGCGCGGACGCGGCCCCGCGGGCGCAACGCCACGGGGCCGCACCGGTCAGGGGGCGCGGGCGGCGCCTGGCGCTCGCACGGTCGGGGGCGTGGCCCCTCCGAACCTAAGAGGAGGAGAAGGAGGAGGAGGAGGAGGAGGAGGAAGGGGAGGAGGGGAGGAGGAGGAGAGGAGAGGAGGAGGAAGAGGAGGGGGGGGGAGGAAGGAGAGGGGAGGAGGAGGAGGAGGAGGAGAGGAGAGAGGGAGGAGGAGGAGGAGGAGGAGGGAGGAGGATGAGGAGGAGGATGAGGAGGAGGAGGAGAGGAGGAGAGGGGAGAGAGGAGGAGGGGGAGGAGGAGCCAGGCGCTCTGTGCGGGCACGGTCCGGTGCGGGCCCGCCGTGCCCCGCGCGCCTCGCCCGGCCGTCTTTCTTGCTTCGGCAGCAGGGCCCTCTTCCTGGCATCGCTCGGACGTGTGCATTTGTCCTTCGGCGAGGACCATCGATGAGCATCCTTGATCATTTGGCGAAAAAGCCACGCGCGAAACTGAAAAAAACACAGGGCATGGTCGTCCGAGCGATGGCCAGTCTCGCCGGCCCGCTGCTTGCTGCACCGCCGCCCTGGGGTTGCCCGAGGCCGCCTGCGCAGCTGGCGACTCTCGACGGTCGGGCGTCTGCCTCCGCCCTCCTCCGCGGCCGCGCTGCGGGAGGCGGCCCGCGGCCACCGGGCCTTCTCGTGCCCTCTGTCGTGCCTCGGCGCCCTGGGCTTCTCGACCATATTTGAATTGACACCGGCTTCTCGTCCTGAGCACGCTGTTGGCAGTCCCAGGGTCCCAGGGTCCGACGCGTGCCTCCGGAGGCCGAACTTGCAGCAACAAGCGCAGGCTCCACACCTTCGAGGCGGTGGAAGTCTGGGGAGTGGCGCCCGAACGGCCAGGTCGCCGCAGGAGGGCCCCCGCGGGCAAGGGATGCCGTGGCCGCTGCTCCGTGGGGACCCTTCTCCCGTGGGGAGAGCGAGGCCAGGGACCGCGTCGCAACGGGATGTCTTCTTCGGCGAAACGGTGCAGTGGCCGCTTCTCCGCGGTGACCCCTCCCGCTGGAAGCGCGAGGCCCTGGACCGCGTCGCTGTGGGGGGCGCCCGCAGGGGAGGTGGCGCCCCGACGACCGGACCTCTCACCCTCTCCTCCGACACTGCGCAATGTTTTCGTGACGTCGGCCTCGGAGGAGGAGGAGGATGAGGAGGAGGAAGAGGAGGAAGAGGAGGAGGAGGAGGAGGAGGAGGAGGAGGAGGAGGAGGAGGAGGAGGAGGCGGGGCGGGGAGGAGGAGGAGAGAGGAGAGCGGAGGAGGAGGAGGAGGCGGAGGAGGAGGAGGAGGGGGAGGACACTCCTCTGGATCATGTGCCGTTTTTTGACGGCCCGGGGCGCCCAGAAGCGGCCCTCCCAGAGGCCGAGCGCGACGCAACGTCGGCCGTCACGTCTTTCTGGGGCAGCGCCCCGATCGGATGGCCCCTTAGATGGGGTCCGAGTCGACAGAGGGTCGGAGGATCGCGCCGCATCGCCAAGGCATCGGCGATGCAGCTTGATGTGGAGCCAGACCTTCTCCACGGCGACGCCGCCCATGCATGGCCGACGTCGCCAGTGCATCGCCGAAGCATCGACGATGCATCGGCGATGTGGCACGATCCTCCGACCTCATCTGCTCGGATTCCATCTGGGAAACCTCCTCTATTTCTCCCGCGGGGGGAGCGAGGCCCTGGATTGCTGCCCAGGGGGGGGGGCCGTGACGAGGTGTCCCAGCGACGACCAGGCCCCTCGCCTTCCCCTTCTTCCTCCTTGGGACCCAGCGTTGCGCCGAAAACCCTGCAGCATCGCGAAAAATCACGACCAAGCCCTAGGCCCCCATCTTCCTGCGGCATCTTCCCAGGCCTGATCGGTTCACGACGGCCCCAGGGCGCGAGACTGGGCGAAGACGCCTGGTGTGCAAGAAATGCGACGCCCAGATCTGGAGGCCCTCCCCTGCCTCGGCCTGGCGGCGCCATCCAGCGAGCACCGTTCGCGGGTGGACCATGGACGCCACCCCTGGCGCCGAGGCGCAGCCGCCGCTGGCCCCCCCTGCCGCAGCTGCTCTGTTGCTGCTCCGGCTCTTCCTCCTTGCTGCCCATCTCGAGCACCCTCAAAGGCGGGGCGGCCCCTTCACCTCGCTGCTCGGGTAGGCATCCGGACACCCCCGCCTGGCCGCGTGCGCTCCTGCTCTGCCTCCTGCCCTGTCTCGGCCTCCTCCTCCGCCTCATCCTCCTCCTCCGTTTTTTTTGGTTGTTGTTTGTATGTTTGTTCTGCTTGTGCAGCGTCAAGACCCCCGCGCCCGGGGCCGCAGGCAGGGGAAGGAGCCGCGCTACGCGTCCCTCGCGTGGCTGCGGCAGCTGCGGGAGGAGATCGACCGCCGGCAGCAGACGGGGAAGTTCGCGCCCATCCACTTCGCCGCCCACCTAGGCCAGGGACGGAGGAGCAGGAGGAGGAGGAGGAGGAGGAGGAGG